ACCTAACTAATCTAACCTAACTAATCTAACCTAACTAACCTAACCTAACTAACCTAACTAATCTAACCTAACTAATCTAACCTAACTAACCTAACTAACCTAACGTAACTAACCTAACCTAACTAATCTAACCTAACTAATCTAACCTAACTAACCTAACCTAACTAACCTAACTAATCTAACCTAACTAATCTAACCTAACTAACCTAACTAACCTAACGTAACTAACCTAACCTAACTAACCGACCTAACCTAACTAACCGACCTAACCTAACTAACCTAACCTAACTAACCTAACCTAACTAACCTAACCTAACCTAACTAACCGACCTAACCTAACTAACCTAACCTAACTAACCTAACCTAACTAACCAACCTAACCTAACCTAACCTAACTAACAGGCAGAAGAAAGAACAGGTGACCATGAGACACAGTCACAACACAACCTGTGTTGGAGGTTCCTGCAGGTGGTGTCTACAGAACCTTTGTTCTGGTAGAACGTTGAGTTTGTTCTGCTCGGTTCTGTCAGGGTCAGCAGTTTACCTGGACATCAGTAATCAGATTAAACACCTCATTCAGATGATTTAATCTGAACACAGTGTCAAACTGGACCTGAGTACTGAGCCCTGCTCACACAGCTCACATGAGACCATCAGGAAGCACACATGTCCTGTGGACACGTTCAGTTTGGTGGGTCTGAAACAGTCACCTTCTCATGTGGTTCTACTGGGAGCTCCATGCATCAGTGCTGCTGGACCCATCACTGGAGGCATCCTGAGACTGGTTCTACAGCCTCCTGATGAAGTATTACAGCTCATCCAGACAGACCATCAGTGGGAGCACTGGTCTGACCCTGACCCTACTGCTGGGATGAGTGACTCTTTGGATCTTAGGGATCCGTTTGTTTCATAGAGCCGTTCAAAAGAGCCGTTCGGTTTTAAAGGAGTTACATCATCATATAGAAAAATATGTCATGTAGGGCGATGTGATGACGTCATCACGTGCAGCGACGTGATGACGTCATCACGTGCAGCGACGTGATGACGTCATCACGTGCAGCGACGTGATGACGTCATCACGTGCAGCGACGTGATGACGTCATCAC